TAAGTGCCTACATAGTAGAATGTAGGGGGTTCTGTATCGCGAATCACTGCTATGAGTTGGGACAGTATCCTTTATATTAACTACCTATACCTAGACCGTTAAATCAAATGTAGCACCTTACTTTGGATGACTGCTTCTACATGGCTAGGATCCTTACTCCGAATAAGAAACTAAGGTAACCCCAAAAAGGTACTACATTTTAGGGCCCTAAACCCCTCAACCCTAAACCCAAAAACAAGTACTAAATTTAAGGGCCCTAAACACTAAAACGGTACTGAGGACCCTAAACCCTGAACCCAAAAACGGTACTACATAAAAGGGCCCTAAACCCTAAACTCGAAAAACGTACTACATTTAAGGGCCCTAAACCCTAAACCCTAGACCACCAAAAAGGTACTACAATTTAAGGGTCCTAAACCCTAAACCCCAAACTCAAAAAAGGTACTACAATTTATAAACCCCAAGCTCAAAAAAGGGTTTAGGGTTTAGGGTACTAAACCCTAAACCCTAAACCCTAAACCGTGGTAGAATGCTTTGGGGGATCTTCGGTCCCGAAGCTTGTGACAGAGCACTGCAAGACCCCACACACCCGCAGCTGGCTCATGTAGGGGGCCTTGGTAAAAAGCATAGGGTTTTTTGGGGTATATTATATACTGTAACTATCATAGGGACCCCCCACCCCCCAAAAAAAAAAAACACAAGTAGTATAGGCAATTATTCAGGCCAGTATATTACCTTAGAGCCCACCAGCTGGCCATGCGGCTCGTTGACGTCCGGCAGCGCATCAGGTGGATTTGAGCACGTCGGCGTGGATCCCACGCCAACGGTCGGCACCTTCAATATACTATATAACCCAAAGGGTCCAAAGTACTTATATAGTAGAATGTAGTTTTTCTATATGAGTTGATTGGGGAAAGTATCCCCCATAACAGTACCTAGGACCCTTTGGGTAAGTGATCAAAAAAGGTACTAGAGCTTCTGTTCAGTGGGATCACAGGACTTCATTCTCCCTAGGCCTGGAAATTTCCTGCTTTGCGCATCCCAACTTGTGAGGGATTTAGGGTTTAGGGGTTAGGCTTTAGGGTTTGGGGTTTAGGGTTTGGGGTTCAGGGTTTGGGTTTAGGGCTTGGGGTTTAGGGTTTAGGATGGTTTAGGGTTTAGGGTTATGGCTGAAGCAGCATTCCCGAAGCTTGCAAGTTGGTACTTCTAGGTGACTCTGCGAATCCGGTGCATCGGTGCTTTTGGGGTTGTTCCCTACTAAGCCCTAAGTAACGGTTTAGGCTTCAGTGTTAGGGTTAGGGTTTAGGGTTTAGGGTTTCGGGTCTAGGGTTAGGCCTTGAGTGTCACAGAGCAAGCTGATGGGCAAGAAGACCAAAATCGAAGCCAACAGTACTGGAAGCGCCGCAACGCAACCTTCCAGCCCTCAGTAGCTATATATTAAATACTTAGACCGTAGGGGATCTATAATAGGGAGTACGATTACGATCTGGGAGCGTGTCACCCATAACAATGCCTACGAGCCTCTGGGAGACCCAAAACCTTTAACCCCAAAGCCCCAAACCGAAATCCAGAGCCCGAAAAAAAGAAGCCCAAATAATGACCAACATGATTCCTTTAAAGGTCCTTTTATATAATGCACTGTAAAGAAGCCCAAAACCCTATTGATGCTATTAAGGCCCCTTCCGTACCCCTGAGCCTCCAAACCAACTTCGCGAAGACGGCGGGCTAACCCAGCTACGGCACGGGCCTCCGGTGTGCATAAACAGCTATAAAAGGTTTAGGGTTTATTAGGTTTTGGGTTTAGGTTTATGGTTTAGGGTTTATGCTTTCGGGTTTATACAATTATATGTTCAAGTCTTGAGGGTTTAGTTTTCAGGGTTTAGGGCGTTTCGGTTCAGCACGGGATGTGTTGGTTGGCATGCGATTGGAGTCTTTTCCCCGGCATGTACCACTATCCATTGAGTGCCCGGTATTGCTCAGATCGACATGGATGCCCGTACGCTTGCGACAGGCGGGGTGGGCGTGGGCTTCCACTTGTAAGAAAGCTTTCGCACAAAGACTTGAGCCACAAAGCCTAAACCTAAACCCTTAAAGGCCCTAAACCCCAAACCGCAAATCCTAAACCGTCTTGGAGAAACTTCGGGAAAATGGAGACCGCAGAAGAGCTCTCAGGTCTAAGGCAGATCGTGGACTTTATCTGGACGTTAAAGTGACCAGGGAGAAGAAGGTAGACACATGTATTTAGACTGGTCACTATAAGGAACAGGGTTTAGGGTTTAGGGTTTAGGGTGCTGGCAAAATGTATCCAAATATGGTACTTCCGAACAGTTTAGTCTGTGGGATTCGGAGGATAATGAAAAACTGCTGTTGACCGAAGACCCGAAACCCGGAACACAAAGCCCTAGGCCCTAAACCTTAAACCCTAGACCAATCAAACCTTAAACCTTAGGGGTTGCGGGCTTAGGGTTTAGGCTTAGGGTTTAGGGTTTAGGGTTTAGAAGCCTTGAGGGACACAGGGGGCTGAAGAGTCCTAAACCTTGAGGGGTCTAGGGTTCATGATCTGTTGAGGTGTCGGGTCTTCAGGGCATTGGTGTCTACTTAGAGGCACCTACAGAACTAGATCCTAAACCGAAGCCCTCTGGGCTTAGGGGTTTAGTTTTGGGGTTTAGGGTTTCGGTTTCAGGGTTTAGGGTTAAGGCTTAGGGGTCTATTTTTGGGTAAGAGGATCATGGGACTTAGTAACCAGGGTTATATATTTATGACTCCCATTAAGGTACTTATAAGCATATACTTACTAAGTCCCATGATCCCCCAAGTAGAGTCGACCTGTAGCCCCTCACTCTCCCAAATGGTAGGTTCTATACAAACCCCAAAAAGAATAAGAGTTTGACCCCGGGTACGTACGCCATGAACCCCAAATCCCACACCCCAAGGCCTAAACCCTGAAACCCTGAACCCCAAACCCTAAACCCCAAACCCAAAACCTAAACCCTCAACCCCAGATCCCCTAAACCCTGAACCCAAACCCTATAAACCCGAAACCCAAAACCCCTAAACCCTGAACCCAAACCCTACAAACCCTAAACCCCCTAAACCCTGAACCCAAAAACCAAATCCTAAACCCCCAAACCCTGAACCCAAAACCTAGCAGACCTAAACTCCAAACCCTAAACCCCCTAAACCCTAAACCCTAAACCCTAAACCCCAAACCCTAAACCCTAAACCCTGAACCCCCAAACCTAACAGACCCTGAACGCCAACCTCAAGACTTTCAGCTTTCAAGCCTTCCTTAACCTAATATAGGGGCGTAGGTTTAGGGTTTAAGGGTTTAGGGTTTAGGGGTTTAGGGTTTAGGGTTTAGGGTTTAGGGTTTAGGGTTTAGGGTTTAGGGTTTAGGGTTAGGGGCGTTAATAACTAGAAGAAGGTCTTGGGGCCCCATGACACCATACTTCCAATAAGGAGCCCCCCAAAATATTTTAGGGTTTAGAGTTTAGGGTTTAGGGTCTATGTTAGGCCCCTAATGAAAGCCCTCTTTCGGTGGTCCGGGATTTCGAAGAGAGCAGCGTCCAAGGACCCTTCACAAAAGACTGGGTTTAGAGGGGGGGGGGGAGGGGGTTGAGGGGTTCAGGGTGTTAGGGTTTAGGGTATATAGGGTTTAGGGTTTGGGGGTTTAGTTTGTTCGGCTTTGAAGCCGTGTAGAGACCTTAAGAAGGCTCTCTCTCTCTCTCTCTCTCTCACACACACAAAAAAAGGCGTTGTAAAGCAAACAGGCGTTGATGTATAAACCTAGAAGATTCTTGTGTATACATGGACCCTTATACTCTTATACAAGCCCGGACTAAACAATAAACAGCCTTTTAACCGCCCTCAAGCCCCCAAATAAATTCTAAAATCCACAACCCACCTAACCCACTAAACTCTAAAGCCTGCCTGCAAGCCCTAACTTGATCTTTCTTGACTGTTGGACCTTGCCTCAGCAGCCGCCACTCGCCGAACCTGCAAGACCTCCAGATGCACTGGGGGCCTCCATAGATTTGGGGTTTAGGGTGTAGGGTTTCCTCAATAGATAGAATGGGGTTTTGGGATTTTGATGCGTTCTCAGACGGGTTCTTACAAGGCTTCTTTTTGGTTGTAAGGCTTCTAGGGTTTAGAGTCGTTTAGAGTTCAGGGAGGGCAAATATAAGGCTTCCAAAAGCTTAGGAGCCTCCATAGATGGAATAGGGTGTTGGGATGTAGTCCATATTATAATACAGTCATCATCAAGAGGATGAAAGTAGTAGAAGTGTTACTTGAAATCCTGCATGAAGTTTGTGAAGAAAGCTCCAGAGCTTTGAGTTTAGGGTCCTGGGCTTCGGAGTCTGATGCGCAGAGATTGTAGACAGTGGAACATTGATTTGTTGCAAAAAGGCATTTGAGTAGATTGGCAAATCCTCCAGTCGAGGTCGCGTCAGGGCTATGAGGGGTGTGTTTACGGCATTTACGGCATCAATTTTAACCTAAACCCGAAACCCTAAACCCTAAACCCTATTTTAAGGTGAAGACCGGAGGACGCGTCTTGGGCCTTGGGTCGCAGGGTGTGTCCGGCTGCAAACTCTGGAGAGGAATTCCTGAAGAAGTTTCCCAAGCCAGTTGTGAAGGGTTTAGGGTTTAGGGTTTAGGGGTTCACGAATCCTAGCTCGCGGAAAGCCGTATAGCTTTAAACTTGGCTCGTTCTACGTAGCAGAAACAAGTAGTTCATGTACCCTGTACTTCATAAACCCCTTCCCGAAGCTTCACCCTAACACTAAACGATATCCCTCTAAACCCTACTGGTGTCATCTGACTGCGCTGACCACTTCGGAGCCCTCTTGGTCGTAGGAATGCCCGCCATGCCTTGGCATGCAAAGAGGGCCGTTAATAAAGGGTTCCGTTTAAAGGGGTCTGAAAGGCTGCGACAAACCCTAAACTCTAAGCCCTAAGCTCAAAACCCTAAACTCTAAACTCTAAACCCTATACAAAACCCTAAACCCTAAACTCTGAACCCTAAACTCTCAACCCTAAACTCTCAACTCTGAACCCTAAACTCTCAACCCTACACCCTAAACCCTAAAACCCTCAAGGGGCCTCAGGGACCCGATGAGGGTTGGGGAGCCAATTTTCGTCGAACTCTTGGACTTCCTGGACCCTATGTGTTTCGGGATCCCTTACTATAATTTCTCATATACATATATGCGCTCATATATATATATATATATATGTAGATACATATTCATATCTATATAAATATGCATGTGTGTATATATATATATATACATAGATATATAGGGTTTAGTGTTTAAGTAATTTCCATATGTATATATATATATATACATATATATATATATATATATGCATGTGTATATGTATATAGATATATAGGGTTTAGTGTTTAAGTAATTTCCATATGTATATATATATATACATATATGTGTGTGTGTGTGTATGTATACATAGTAGAAGTCCTCAAAGAAGGGCAGGCTATTGCGGGTCAAGGTAAAGGATACTATCATGATTGCTCGGAGCCGTTTGTTAAGGGGGATCGGAGGGTTTTTAGGCAGGGTTCCCAAAGACTCCAAAAAACCCTTAACCAAGGAATATACCTCAAATCATAATGAGGTTCCCTCTAACTTTAGGTATCTTACCCTCAACCCTAAACCCTATAGTTTAAGGCAATAACCTTCCTTCATTTAAGGGGGCCCCCTAGAGTCTCTGGGTTCATAATCTCCTGAAGAGTCGGATCTAGGGCTCCGTGCCCGGGGTATTGGGGGAGTCGAGGGGGCCGCAGGTTTCGGGCGTAGCTGGAAGCGTGGAAGACCGAAGCCACTGACGTCCGGGCGCAAAAGTCAGCAACTCGAAGGGGTCAGGCGCTCGCCGAGCGCGAGTTTTTGAAGTCAATACCACACACAACCCTAAGCCCTAAACCCTAAACCCTGGACCCTAAACCCTAAACACATCCACCCGTCCATCCCGAAAACAGCCAACATGCAACCCTGCAAAGACCCCTTCTTGATCCTGGGGTGGAGCCCTTCCGTCGAGGTGCGTGTACAAACCAGCCAGGCGCGCCTGGCAGCTAGCAGGACAATGCAGTCTTCGTGGTAAGAAACATCGATGCATACATTATGGGCTACTACATGGGTGATTCTATCGGGTTTCTGTACGGTCAGAAGTCTAGATACCTTGAACTTGTCACTGGGATCTGCTGTAGATGTTCAGACTGAACCCCTTAACCCTACACGGAGTGAGCGGGTAAGCGGGCTTCCGATACATCTTTGGGCTTCGGGTTCATGCAGAACGTCTACAGGGACAGCTTTTTCCACCAGAGGCAAGAAGCTTGCATCATGATATAGCGCCTCAATAATTAATTAGAATCAGGTTTTGGTGCGTATCGTTCAAAACGCAATAGGGAACAGTATGGAATAGCAATGGTAATTATTCAGGCTTCATGACACTTCGTTCCGGATTGGGAAACTGTTACACAGCCACACGTATGTCTGTATTGTAGTTACGTAGACACCCCGAAATTGTCACGGCTCTTGAAGATTTGGAACCTCGACTGTGAATCTATGATTTGGTAGTTGCAGCCGACGCCGGCTACACTGAAAGTCCCTAGCTGTGCCATATAAGTTCAATACTCGTATCGGTACCTCAACCAAGATACCTAAACCCCAAACCCTAAACCAGGATATCCCACCGTCTGCCGAACGAAATCAACTCTCCAAGCCTCAAGCCCTGAACCTGAAAACTTGCACCAACCCCTTCGAACCCCAAAAATATCTGAAAGAACCCACCATTAGGGTTTAGGGTTTAGGGTTTATGGTACTAAACATACTGGGGATACAATTGCCCCCCCTGCCACCACCAACCTTTGCAGCGATCGCGCTTTGTCGCAACATGGTATCCTCCTCTAGTCACCTGCTCCTCAAAGGGACCTTGCTGGAACACCTAGCTTCGCAAATCGATTGAGAACTCATTCTCGCTAAAACACATGACGCCCTTAGCCCTAAACCAGACCAGCCCAAGCCAAGATCAATGTAGCAGGCCACCTTGGACGGATCGGCAGCCAATCGACGAGCCAGACCTACCGTGGCTGGGTCCTCACCGAAAGAGACGTGATCGACATGGGGGGACGATCACGACGGGATCTGCTCATTTATTCAGACGCTCCTCCCCTTATATGGTATAGTGCCACTTAAGGCAACTCGACAGTAAACCGTTTGGTAATTGTTCAAGGAACTCTTGTAGCAACCCTTGCAGCAACCCTGAAAGCAAACCCTTATAACGACCTCAACTGCAATCCTGTTCAAGGGTCCTAAGGGTCCCAAGTATCTGTATAGTAGAATGTAATGTAGGGTTTCTTTTTTAGGAATTACTGGATCATATGGGGCAGTATCCCCATACCAGCACCTAGGACCCCTGAAACTTGAAGGAAACTCTGATCATGGTAACCATAATTGAACCCTAAACCCTAATTCTGGTAAGCCTACAAAGAAACCTAAAATTCAGCGAGTCCCCCTCCTCAGGGTCCACGCCGTCCCTTCCGTAACCGCAGTCGACCATCAAGAAGACCGACCATGCCTGAAACACCGGAGGGCAGATCTTTGGGCTTTATGGGGCTTTAAAGGTTTAGGGCTTCGGGCTTTGTAGGGCTTTAAGGGTTTAGGGCTACAGGGCTCTAGGGCTTTTTAGGGCTTTAAGGGTTTAGGGTTATAGGGCTGTAGGGTTTTAGGGTGTACCAGGACCCCCAACTGCCCTTTAATGGAGCCCTTATGGTCCTTATTAATGGTTTATGCCTGAAACACCGGATGCTGCATCGCTGGGCTTTAGAGCTTCAGGTTGTCGGGTTTAGTATGCAGTGGCATTAACAAATTACAATTATACTGAAAAATAATGTAAGGAACCCCCAGGATAGTATTGGTAATTATTTAGCCCCATGTATTAGGCGGTTTAGAGAAGTGTAGGGTTCGGACGTTTGCGCCTGAAGCCGTATAGGAGTTAGGCTTAGGGTTTAAGGTTTAGGGTTTAGGGTTTAGGGTTTCGGGTTTAGGGTTTGGGGTTTAGAGGTTTAAGGTTTAGGGTTTATATAGGAGTTTGGATCATCTTCTCCATTTACTCTATATCTTGAAATCTCCTTCCACGATATCCCCCTCCAACCACCACTCATTCTACGATATTTGTCCTCGAACATCTACAGTTTAACATTCTCTCTCCCAAGCTCGCACGACCCCACCCCCAATCTAAACGCCCTCATCATGCCGCCATTTCACGACATTCCCTTCAAACTCTTACGACACTTTCCACGACCAACATGCCGTCACCCTACTCCACGACACCCATTCCACGATCCATGCCCTCACCTTCTACTCCACGATATTCCTCCCCGCACATTCCCAATCCACGAAACCCCAAACCCTAAACCCCAAACCCCAAAAAACCCGAAAACCTAAACCCTATAAGTGTATTAGCCCTAATACCTAGAAGCCGGGTGCAAGCAGGGAAGTTTCGAGTTCGGGCTTTACACCTGAAGTCTTAAGCCCAGCAGGCCGTTCGGGTCGGTCTGTTTTGCGGGGTTAGCGTTGAGGATTTCGTTTTTAGGGTTTCGGGTCTCGGGTTTAGGGTTTTGGGTTTTGGGTTCAGGCGTGAACTCACTTCTCTGGCATGAAAGTGTTTTGTGCTTGCGCGGTGGAACTTAGAATCCCCAAACCCTAAACCCTAAACCCCAAACCCTAAACCGTAAACCCTAAACCCTGAGACCCCTAAACCCTTTAGAACCCCCAGCCGAGCCTTCTCGGTGCTCGGTGGGCGCTCCAACAACGCATCGACCGCCGAGGAATGGTCGACCGTAACCTGGTGCTCTGTATGGGTTTTGGGTTTTGTGTTTCGGGTTTGGGGCTTAGGGTTTAGGGTTTCTAGTTATATAATTCTTTGGCTGTCCAAGTTATCCCCTTGTGCCTGTAGTCTCCACTGTAGTTCTTTTTTTGGGTATATAACCTGTTATATATTCAGGATCTTATTGTAAGGTAACCCCCAAAAAAAGAACTACAATGGAGACTATGGCTTACCTGTAGTCTCCAATTGTAGCCCCTCTCTTCGGAGGGGTTTTGCCAATTGTCAGTTGTGTTGTTCGATGCTCACAGATACCTATAGTCTCCACTGTAGTTCCTTTTTGGGGCTACCTTATAGGATCTTGAATATAATTGGTTAAACCACAAAAAGGAACTTCAATGGAGACTATAGGCACAATGGGATAACCTGGACAGCCAAAAAAAAAAAACTGGAAACCCCAAACCCTAAACCCCAAACCCAAAACCCCAAACCCGAAACCCTAAACCCCAAAACCCCAAACCCTAAACCCCAAATTCAAACCCGAAACCCTAAACCGCAAACCCTAAACCCTCCCCTAAGCCCT